TTGCACCTAAATCCATCAATGATGAGGAAATAAGAAAATAAGAAAATAGAAAAGACATACAGCTGCATAGTCTTCATCTCGTAAACCAATGCTTGGGCAGACGATGCGTTGGCAGCCGTCTTGACGGCGACGGATCGGTCGTTGTAGATGCCCTTGTACACGGCCCCGTAGCCACCGGCGCCCAATGGACTAGAAATGTCCATCTCAATCTCCGTCTCTGACACCTAACGACGTCATTAGTCTGAAAATTCATCCAGCCAGACGACACGGACTTCAGGAATCGCACTGTGCGCAGCCGCCTGAAGCATCGTCGCCATACGTCGATGGCCTCTTTGGATGGCGAGAATCACCGGTGTCACACCCGCCTATGAAATATAAAGTTGTCGTTGGTGCTTTCGATCGCTGGTGCGGGTTACCGAGTTGCAGACGTCCATCTTGATATCTGGCGCACGCAAAAGAGCGTCCAGAGCCTTGTGGTCGTCGCGTTGCACAGCGAGATGCAGGAGCGAGTCGCCTTCCTATAGCCATTCCTTCAGTTCTCGGATGACAAGTCGTCTCCTCACCTCGTTCATGGCGTTGGGGCTCACGCCGCTTGCCAAAAGCACTACTGTCTGGCGGTAGTCTCGCTTGCACACGGCGTCAACGAGCTCGGCACCACGCTAAGTGATTTGACTTGCGTCAGCTTCAAGTCGACAGGAGGCAGGAGGTCGTACCTGCGCGTTGGCTTTGGCTTCAACACGATTGAGAATGGCGCGGACGCGATCGTTCGTTGCTAGCATCAATGGCGTCTCGCCCGACTAGAGACAGACATGTCGAGCTTACTTTGTGATTAGTAAGTACCGTAGTCATCGCAAAGACGTTGGCGTTGGCGCCCAAAAGAGACTCGACAACGCTCGCATGCCCCTTGGCGGCCGCAACGTGCAAGGGTGTGTGACCTATCTAGTCGAAGATCGACTCACATACTGAGAAAATAGAGTGCAGCGTGCGTACGTGGTTGATCGCGTTGACATACGTCTCGTCCTTTGCCACCTTGAGCAGAGACGTGACGATGGCGACGTGGCCGCTGCCAGCCGCGAGGTGCAGCGCAGTCTCTCCATGCTAGAGCAAAGTCGGTTTTGGCAACCAGCCAAGGAACATTCAAAGTGCAAACCTCGTTTGCTAGCGTTGGGCTGGCGCCAAGAGAGAGAAGACGCTCCACAACACTCGTGTCGTTGGTCGCGGCCGCTTGAAGGAAGACGGTCTTGACCGCGTCAGAGTGTTGCATAAGTGCTCGCGTTGTCTAACACATTGCTACTGTGGAAAGAGAGGATACTGCAAAGGCGTGTACTCCATCCTGGCTGGCAATCTCAAGGTTGTTCAGAGTCGATCGGAGCAGCGGCAAGTCGTGTGCCTCGAGAGCCCTCTGCAACACGGCCATAGCGTGCTAGAGCAGTTGCAAGCGTTGTCTCACGACTCGATCGACGAGCGCAATGCGCGTACGTTATCGCGGGCGCTGGGGTTGATGGCTTCTTGCTACGCCAGACGATAATACGACCGGAGTGGCATCACAGAACGAGCTACCATAGGCTTGGAAAGCGAGTCTCGCAAGAGCTGGACGACGCTAACATGTCCTTTCTTTTCTGCGATCAGAAGGGGCGATTTGCCAAACTACAATGGACCATACACCGCGCTGCTCATATTTCTCGTTGCGCCAGGAGAATGACGGGACGTACGTTGTCGTAGACGTCGATGGCCGCGCCCTTGGCGAGCAAGAGGCGGGTGATCTCCACGTGGCCTCCGGCAGCAGCAAAGAAACATGGCGTTCGACCATACTACACATCGACACATAGAAACCTCGACAAATGCCAACACGGTACTTGGTCCAGCGCGTCGACGGTCGCGCCCTTCTCAAGCAAGAAGCGGACTACGTCCAATTGACCATCGTAAACAGCGTAGTGCAATGGTGTCCACTCGTTCTACGCCGATATACGTGCACCCGATGCGCGAGATACCCACACACGTACGTAGCTTGTGGCGTCGATGGCGGCGCCCTGTGCAAGCAACCGAGCGACGACTTGCAACTGACCAGCGGATGCAGCAAAATGCAAATCCTAGCAGGCCAGAGACTTTTAGAACCTGACGATCGTGGCGCGCTTACGTCGTCGGTGTAGGTAGTGCTGACACCATTTTTGAGGTCGGCGATACCGCCAGCCACGGTGCCTGCTTCTGGAGCAGTGCCAGCCGCTGCCTGCACGGTCGCAACCTCGTGGGCATCCTTCATGACGCTTGCGCGTACCTCCATCGTCGCCGTTGACACGCCTCGCAAAGTCGAAAATTGACTTTGCCTTTTTTCCTGCACGGTGATTGGCTCAAATCGAATAGGCGTATCGAGACTGCGTCGCGCAGTTGTCGTCGCGACAAGAGAATCGTATATCGCATGACAACTTGTCTCATTGTAGTGGTCAAAACAACAAGGATGCTAACGTTATGAGCGCCGTTGCTGCACGGTATTAGCGCCCACGAGAACGATACTACGAGAAAGGTGCATGTCACATATTGTTGGCCGCTGATTTGCTCGCATCGAGTCGCGCGACTCGTCTCGGCAGGTGCGTGTTGGTCCAATCAAGAAGGGGAACTCGATAGCGAACCCGAGGATCGTATCAAGCACCCTCGTTGGCGTCGCGTCGGATGAAGGACGAGTGCGATCGGGCGTTGCGTGTCATCCGGATAAACCATGTCGTGGCGTTGTGGGTTGACAAAACGAGAAGCGCCAGTTTGTCAAGTGACGTGAACGACAATGGACGGGGTAGTACAGGGCCGAGCCTGGCGTATATCGCTATAGGCTTAAGGAGCCATGTAGGAAGCGCTTCTCAAGGCTGCAGAAGAGGGCAACGTGGCCAACGTCCGATTCTATCTCAAGCAGGTGGTCAACATGACCTGCATGAACCGTGTACGTGGCACCTCGACGTCGATTGTCCATCGTGATTGATGTATATTGGCGTAGAGTGGTCAGACGCCATTGCACTTGGCTGCTGGAAATGGTCGACTGAAGATTGTCCGCTTTTTGCTCGAGAAGGGCGCCGATATTGAAGCTCCGGACAAGGTACGTTTGAGCTTTGCGTTGATATCCCTCATGTACCGTATGTATTCATATGACTATTGGCGTAGAATGATAAAACGCCTTTGCACTTTGCTGCTTTCAGGGGCAAGTTGGAGGTCGTCCGCTCTTTGCTCGAGAAGGGCGCCGATATTGAAGCTCCGGACAAGGTACGTTTGTGCTTTGCGTTGATATCCCTCATGTACCGTGCGTATTCATATGACTATTGGCGTAGGATGATAAAACGCCATTGCACTTTGCTGCTTTCAGGGGCAAGTTGGAGGTCGTCCGCTCTTTGCTCGAGAAGGGCGCCAACGTCGACGCCAGAGACATTGTACGTTCATCGTCTCTTCGCATAATGCGCTATGAGAGATACAAAACTTCGGGACGTGGAGAGAGGCATGCTGAACAAAACCACGGCGCTGGATGTGGAACTGCTGCGTATCAACGCGGATGTCACCTGCCCCACCTGAGCTGCGTGCAGCGGTTTTGCGTCAACGTCATTCGTGCGTCATAGAATGTGGCCTCCCATCCTTTCTATTTCAAAAGCGGCGAAAAGAAATCGCGTCGACAGTGGCGCTTGACGAGCCCACGAGTCGTACAGCGACAGAATGTACTCAGCATATGGTACAAGCACGAGATTGACTAACGTTAATCGTATGGCAACCCGAGCGAGCAAATGCTCGCAATACAATGTCTGTCAAGGGTTAACAAAAAGCATTTCTTCTTGATCGTTGACAATACAGAGTGTCATTGTCGGCCAAGCTCGTGGAAACGAGACTGGACGCAAAAATGCGTCGACAACACCTCTCGCCCACGGTTTCGTAAACCGGTTCATTGAACCGAATGGCACCCAATGGTGCGACTTTGGCAGACCAAAAACAGCAAGCAAGGCGCTCTACATGAAGCGCGCGAAGTTCTGCGAGAGTGCTTCTCGGCGACGCACCGATGTTGCAATGTGAGTAGAGTAGTTACCAGCTAGCTCCAGTCATGAGTTCCAGCTCTTAATACTAGTACCGGTTCTATTGACAGAAACGCAGCAGCACAGCTCTTGTTACCACAGACTCGTGCTCAGGTTTTGTGCAGCACGCGCGAGAGACACTGTTGCACCTGTCGCGTATCACTATTTCGATCGAGTCAAGCGCAGCGCGTTGTTCGTGTCGGCAACGATGCTGAAGACGAGTAGGACAGTCAAACTGTGCGAATTGTAAGGTTCGTCGAGCTCCATTTCGTTGCAACCGACCTTGATCTCATTTTTCGCCCCAGGAAACACAACGGCTTTGCATTAGAAATCGTATGTCGCGTCAACAGCTGGCGATCATCATTCTGCCGTCAGAGGTACTCGTGACGTGCCCAGAGCCAAGCAGTTTTCGCCTT